GCTCAGTGGTAGGGTAATGGCGGAAAACATATTTGCTCTGTTTCATCAGCCTTTGGACGACTCTGGAATCAGGAGACCCTCTTAGGGCACACCCAGTCTTTGTAAAGTGGGTACCCTTAATTAAATAATTAATCAAGAGGGGAAACGTGGCGGTTGAGCTTCATCTCAATCAAATCACCTCCTTGCCCAATCGTTGACTAAGAAACAGCACTTTCCCTAAATAGTACTGAACCCAAAACCCTTTATGGTTTGTAATGGCACAGTGTGTTTTTTTTTAATTACCATAAATAAGAATCTCAAAATTATTGCGTCCTTACTATTTATCACGTATGGTATGTAGAAAACTCAACTAACTTTCTTCTATATATTTTTTTTATAAAAAAAATATTCATTGTTATTACCAATATGTCCCGTAAGTGTCCAAAATATCTTTTTTTATGGGGCTATATCCCACTTCCTTAATATTAAAATATCCACAACGCCGATCTGGAGATAAATAATATGTAAATGAAATATGTCGTACTCATTATGGCCACCTAGTGTATCTGTGGACGGTGTTCAAAATTTATTTGGGACAATAAGAGGAAGACATTTTCGTGATTAACGACGAAAAATAAAAAATATAAATATATGTCTTTATTAAACATAAAATGTAAAAAGTAAGCTTTGGTCTAGTCTGCTTTGGGTCTTTCTTCTCGTTTCCTTTTAACCGCATTGTGCTGTATCTAATTTGTTGTTTCTGTGGTTTATACGATAATATTAAATATACTAACAAAATTCTCTAAACAGGTTGAAAATATTTTCAAAGTCTTTTTTTCCTTATTTAAGGATTAATAGCAAGGCTAAATGTTAGAACCCTGAGTGACAGGGTGGGCCGTGTGTGGGAAGATGTCAGGCTTCACCTTGTAGATTCGGATTTCGATAGGATTCATAGGAGAGATGGTATGAAGGCAACTATTGTTTCTCGTACCGGTAACGATCCATTCGGGTCTCTAACCCGTTTCATGAAATAAAGAAGGCCTTTCTTCTGTGTTTATTTAGCCATGGCCAAGATATATTAAAACTACTATTAACAAGTATACCTCAGTGAGAATTCCCAATTAAGATAACTAACCTTCTACCTGATGTATTCAATGCATAAGTAATATCTGTGAAATATTTGTATCCCTATATACATACATAATACAATATTATCACCATAGTTTAGGTGATTACCAGTTTTTATTTAATAATATTGACATCATCAGCTGTGACATCAAGCTTCAATTAAAGAAGAAAAAAAAAAAGACTTCATAAATGATTAGCTTAAGTTAATCAGTCTTATAGTTAAGCAGCCTTTAAATTATTTTATTTTATTTATCTTTAAGTTATTTTTATTTATTTATCTTCAAGTTATTTTATTTTATTTATCTTTGAGATTTTTATTTTAGTTATTTTTGAGTTATTTTATTTTATTTATTGTATAATACTTTTTTATTATTATTTACTTATTTTCCTTCTGTTTACTTTTTTTTTTTGTACATATTGTGTGAATATTATATTATCTTACCTACCAATGTCCATGTGACAAATGGTAATATTATCCAATAAAAAAAAAAAAAAAAATTAAAAAAATAAGCAACAAGATATTGCTCTCTCCGATCTTTTAAAACCCATTATTGTAGTAGCTGAAAATTTATGTGTTAGCTGCAGAAGACTCTTGGTTTATAATTCTCATACTTACTGAGTACAGAAACCAGACCGGATTTTTTTTATTATTTATTAAAATTATCAAAAAGTTTCTTTCACTGTTATCCATAATTTTTAACAGTGATAGGTATCACAATGCGACCATATAATCTGAGAGGCATTCGGCAAGAAATACGATCTTAGGACTTAAAACGCAGGACCCGATACATTTTTAAAATCTTTAAAACACAACTTATTCTTTTTTTTCTCACTATTTTTTGTATCTATTTGTTTTATATCTACATGGCTAACTGTTGTATATATTTTTTAAACTATGATATTATTCTAAGAGTACTTTAGTCCCATTATAAAATTATTTTTCAATTCACTTAGTTTCATTTCAAGTCGAATCGTTGACTTATAAACTATTTCAGTTTTGAATCCTTCCATTTTATAAAATATATTTTATTGAAGAGGTTGAAGTAGTTTAAGATCAAAATTGGCATTCATCACTTCTCCATGACATTCTCTGTCGTTTGATAGCTCATCAATAAAATCCATTGCTCCTGAGAATCAGGAAATGGATTTATACTATCATATTTATATAAAGATTAAATTGTTAACGGTATTGCTTTATATACTTTGTTTCTTTTCTTTAAGTATCTTATTTTATGATCGCTTCGAGATACCGGAAAACACTAGCAAAGATTTGAGTCCTTTACGACCCCCAAAGCCCCGATGGCTGACTTGTAAAGTATAGGGGAAGTACAACAGCAGTCGGAACTCGAACCTTGGCACAATTACGGGTTGCAGGAGTCATGTTCCAGGATCATGAGCTCTGGAAGCGATCCTCCGGGAAGCGGCGCTCTCCAGCCATCACGCCATGAGGCTTGCACGGGGTCATACATCCAATTTCCAACCAGAAGGAATGAAGCTATCAGTAATAACTCCTCAAAGTTAACAGTGACCCACATAAAGAGATTAAAGGCATATTTTCGTTGACATGGAATTTAAACCAACATTTTAGAGACTTACGCTTACGTTTGAGATTGTTAATCGTAGAAATAAAAAAGAGATAGTAAAATGTGTCAGATTTGAGTTTAATTTGACATAGAGTTCAATAACCAGCTATTCTGATTGTTTACTTGTTCGATGGGGCTCTAACAGGTTTGATAAAACTGTCAATAATACGTGTTTTTTTTTCACCTCACGTTCGTCATTTACGTCATGAAGGAGTATTTTTACTCTATAAACATCTGATAACCGATGGGGCTTGTTTTATCCCTATTTGTTGCTGACTTTAAAGCAATAAACAGTCCTTCGTAAAATCCTCAAATGTCCTTATTATGTTACCTTAAAGACCTCAATATTTCCTTTATTGCAGATTTAGCCCAAATCATACATTCCTCTTTTTATTCCAAACTCGTTTGTGACCCTAATCCTCTAGGTCATAACCTTTCATCCACAATGATTTCTGAGAAAACTCCGATGCATCTGAAAAGAAGATGGTCAAGGAAAATCCTAAATTAATCTAATCATTGGAGCGTTACCAACGAAAAGCTCTTATCATGTTTTATATTGTTATAGTAAGTTTACTTGTATTAATTTGTATAGCTATAAATTTCAAAAAATGAATAAATACAGAAACAATAGACAAAGTTTCGTTCTAACTAATTTTGAATTGGCAGGCTATTTAAAGTAAGGGCACAAATTTGTTTGGTGTTTTTTTTTTTAATTTTTATCGATTTGGTGCTGATTTCTTATTATAATGCTTTAGAACAGATTAATGAGGAATTTTTTTTTTCCTAAAGTATGAATTTCGGATTAGATAGCAAACTCTGCGGTTTCCATTTATAGGGAAACAACTTTAGGGAGCCTATGTGTAACCATATGCTCAAAACTTGTCAAATATAGCATCATTATTATTTTTATTTTTTTGGAAAAATTTGATTTTATAAAAACAATTTTATGATTAATACATCCTTATAATAATAAGTATTAATTTCTATGTTGATTTTTTGTTTTCAATAACAAACAGATATTCTCATTCTCCATTAAAAGGTCTCCCTTAATTCGTTTGCCTATTCATTATATTAGAAACTGTGCAGCTTGTCTTTTCTTTGTAAATAAAAAAATGAAATAATTTTTTCAGATCACTACTTTGGTTATTGCAGAAGACCGAGTTAAAAATTAAGATCTGTGTTGTTATATAAACATCTGAATACCTAAGAGCAGGAAATACAGGGTATGCAAACGTAATGCTAAACTGAAAAAAAAAAGATTACGAAATTGTGAGAAATCGTACATGTATGTAAAGAGGGTAGAAATAAGCTCTAACGATAATCCTGAATGCGTAACACAGTTACATGGCCCATCCTGATACAAAATAAAACACCATAAATCTTTTTAATATGTTAAAATAAAATATTTATTAAAAAAGTAACTAAAAAATTGACATTTCTTTTTATGAATGTTGTAAGAATTAGTTTCGGAAAAAAAAATGTTTTAAAAGTAAATAAGTTGCTTAAAACATATTTACTTATACAGCCTTAATTTAGTTACTTTATGTTTATTAATATAAAATATTGGTTGGAGTTATTTAATATGACCAAGCTTGTGCAATAATAAGCAATTATGTTCCGAATTTAATATATTCGAAATTAATTTCTATTTCTTTTTTCAATGCCCAGTTTTTTCTCCTGCTAATGCTGGTTAGAATGTGACGAAATCTGATATCTATATTTTATTTATTTTTTTTTTTCGTTCATGCTCGAATCCCGGCTAATGGAAGAAAAAATATTTATTGTGTTTCACCACCCTGGGATCACGAGATCCTCCTTGGGCCCACCCAGCCTCTATAAAGTGGGTATTCTCAAATTAAATAATTATTTAAGGAGGCAAACCTGGCCGTTGAGCGTGATCTCGGTCAAATTACCTCATTGCACAACCGTTGATTAAGAAACAGTTATATAAAAAAAGTTTTTATTTTACAGGTTTTATTTTATTTTTTTGTCATGACCAATATTAAACATGAACATGAATGATTATTTTAAGTGAGTGAGCATTAATTTGAGTTAGTATTAGCTAAATAAATATCAGCTCAAGTATTCAAAGTTTTTAAATGGCGATGGACCTAAACATTGTTTATAAAATTAATTATTTTTTAATTGAATTTGTTGAGACTTTTTAAAAGGAAGAGTATTGAATAATATTGTTATTAAAATAAAATAATTAATTTAGTATAAAAACTTATTCATTAGTAAATAATAAATAATTAGTAATTAATTTAAATGACTTGAGTAATGATAAAAACATAAGTATTCAATTCTCACCTAGTTTAGCTACTAGCTGTATCACGATGCTATCACCAGCAATCGCCCAGCGTACTTCGTATGCCAAGTCATCGCTGAGTACTTCACAGTTGAGTTTAGACTGTAACAAATAAAGAAAGAAATTAAATATATTTTTGTACAGAAGATTTTTTATCTATTATAAAATAAACAGCTATAATGCAAAAAGCACAAACTCAAAAGTTGAAAAATGACTTGCTAGTAGATCTAAATAGTTCTAGATGCAAGTTTGTTCCAGGAAAGACTAGCTCAGAGAACCATGATTGTTTTAGAACATAAAAAAAAAAATCATAATGATGTTATAAAAGTTTTAATGATTAAAAATATGGGTACAAAATTGGTGAAGTATGAGCATCACACTACTTTCACTAACTTTCCTAATTTTAGTGGAAATTTATTTTGAACGAATAATTAAACTTTAAGAATACTATTTTAACTATTAGCATAAGCCAAAGGCAATTATAAAATACAGTAGTCTTGTGCACCAGACCTGGGCCAAAAGTGTTTTAATTATTTTAATATATATATTATTTCTCTATATATATTATTTTTCTGTAAAATTTATTTTATTTACTGTACAAAGAGTGTGAATGTGATCTGTGAACACTATTATAAATGTCCTTGAGAAAGATTGTAATATTTTTCAATAAAAAAAAAAAAAAAATTATTGTCTTAAAATAAGATATTTAAATTAGCAAGTATTTTGCATTTTTAAAATACAGTGTATTTTAATTACAAAGTACTAAAATTATATATTTTAATTACAAAAAAACAAAATACAAATACAAAATACTTTCAGATGAACGATCAGCCTATAATAAAGGGGACATACTCCATTTGGTAGTTATATACATTATTTTGGTATATTATATGTATTGCATAGAATTGTCATAATTTTTATTGCTTTCATTTATAAGTAAAGTAATAATTTTAATATTAATTATTTAAAAAAAAAATAATTTGTACTGAAAGTTGTGTGAAGCATCGTACCAATGTTTTGTTATTTATTCGAAATCAATTATATTATCATTTTTTTTCTCTTCCCTTCCCTCCCTTTTAGGCTATAGAATTTTTTCCCGGGCCTGGAAGACAGCAGGGAATTAGGTCAGAGAAAAGTCCCTCCGGCACCGAGATATGAACTCGTAATCTTCGGTTTGTCATCAGGTTGTCGGGCAATGCGAAATTTTACACACGCGTTAGCCTCCTCGCCCTTAATTATATTATCAAGTAAGAGATGATCTTAGGAAAGAGGCTATTATAAGTATTAGTAGAAATTTGATATATATATATATATATATATATATATTGTTGACTGATGAATATTGTTTTTAAGGTTATTATGGTTTTATAAATGGGCTAATGTCTATAGTATAGTAAATCCTCTAATTTAAATTATATGTAAAATCAGATTATTCCTGAAGATGCCTGAAGAGGCGAAAATTTGGATAAATTTGAAATAAAGTAATTTTTGACGACTGAAAAGTCCCTTTTTCTACTTATCAAGTAATTTAAATTTATTCTTGTAATTTCTAATGTATTCTTATTTTCAACAGATGTCTACAGATATGAGCACCTGAGGACAAATTTAAAACCGCCAATCCTGTTAGCAATTTCTGAGTAATCTTTTTAGAGGGAATTAAATACCTTCTGGCTAACTGTCGACAATTCTCTTAGAATCTATGGAGCAGTAAGTGGTAAAAAATTGCTGATTCTTAACCACTACAGCTGGAGGTTATATGGTCAGCTTCATGCTCAATCACCAGATTAACCTATTTCCCTTCCATTAAAAATTATAAAACGGTCAAGCTCACATTTATGGAGACTAGGTTTGCCACTGAAGGATCTAAAACCATTAGGTTATCTTATAGTCCGTGGTACAGGAACTATGCTAGATAATTAAGTGCATTTATACTCCAGGCAATTAACACAAGCTTTAATTGATTCCTGAGTTGCTAACTGTGGTTTCATAATATGTGTCTGCTCTTCACAAGGAATGGTTTTATACATTTCACATTTATAATATCGATTGAATCAAAAGAAATTTCGATTAATGACTTTACCCTGTGACAAAAAACGGCGATAACATCCGTTATCTAATATGGGAGTGATCTATTGATAAGGTTTTAATGTTGTACATGTAATTGTTTAACAATAAGCATATCACCATCTTATAGAATATCGGACCAGACTGGAGATAAGGTGACTTTATTGACCGCGCTACGTTGCAGATAATTTCCACTACTACGAATTCCTTTTTTTGTTTTCTTAGAAAAATGCAAACACAAGTTTATCCTGGAGTGAGGTAGCTTCCTTTTATTTCTTTTTTAACTTTAAAATAATATTTATTATAATATTTAATCTTATTTTATTAATTTTCTCTTTTATAAAAAGTTTTATTTTTTCTAAGTATTATATAACGTTTCGGCAGATTCAAATATTGTAAAAAATAAAAATAACAGTCGTAAAACTTCTGAGAAAAAAAAACCCATTAGAATTCGTTTAAATTGAAGCCATTTTACAGACAAATTTGTAAAACTTCTTTTTTTCAGTATACTACTCTAGTATACTAAGTATTATATCAATTATTACAAATTACGTTATATTCATATTTTAGTTATCACAAATTTTTAATTATTTTCTCTCATACCAGACTGAAAATCTGGTATGAGAGGAAGCAAAATGAATTAAAAAATCTTTAGTTTTTTTTTTAGTCACTCTCATAAAATAATGTACTACGTTTCTCATCTGTCAAGAATGGGACAGTAGTGTTTTATGTTCCAACTCATGAATTATTAACTATAAAGGTAATTTGAAAGTGTAATAGAATTGACATAAGCATGTTACAATATAGGTGAGCCTCCAGCCCAGGTACATGAAATCGGCAAAATGTCGGAGGTTAGACATCACACCATATGCATTCGCACTTTCATGCAAGTCACCGCACTCACCACAAACAATCCAAATCGACTCCTCCAGATCGGCGGAGTGTGTGTACAAGGGGCCGCTGACCCAGGTTGCGACAGCTGATGGCCGAAGACGGAGGTGAAAGGCAGGTGAATCAGAAGATCCGCAGTTCATTAACTCTGGCCAGGTGTGGGTTACGCCAATCCCCTCATTTAGTGTGGCGCAACGGTGTGCAATCCTCAAGTTCAGCAACTTCTTATTCCTGGGAGATGAATGAAAGTTCCGATGATATTTCGCTATCAGCCGGTAGGGATATGAAGGTCGTAAAGTAACCGAAACTGATTGCAATGGCGGCAGGATTCGGATTTATTCGACGTGGGTCATGGGATCGCTGTGATGTTCGCATCCAACGTAAACGAGCTGGAGGTGTAAGATAGAATTTCTTGAAAATTTTTCTAGCTGTGTCCTTATCTTTTATTCACTTAAATTTAAGTACAAATAAAACGAAAAACTTCCTAGCAATTATTAGATATATAATATTATCTACTTATTTGGCAGATGAAACGATACAAACATTTTAACTATATGAAATCTTGTCCTTACCAAGTGGTCTCTCAAGTACATCAGCATAAAAGAAAATTATCTTGATGTTTAAAAAGCCTTGATGCTCTACTTGTAGATACTCAAAAATTCTGTTTACGGTGGAGAAGTAGTAACAATTGAAAATTTAAGCTAACAGCTACCCTAAATTTTTTTAGTGAGGATCTGGTACAAGGATTGCCACATTTCGATAAGGTTATGAACTTTCGGAATGAAAAATTGAAAAAACTTGGGAATTATCCAATTCCGAGAATTTTCGTAAATAAAATATTTGTAGGTTATGATGAGATGAAGCTATTAACGAATCTTCAGCTGGATGTTATCAACTTCATAATAAGAGGTCTATACCACGGACTATTATAGCCTGAAGTATATCTGTCTATGTACTGCTCCCTCTCTCTCCTCCTCCAAAGGATCTTCCCCAAAGTGCCACATTGGTTGCATTGGTGTTACCCACACTATTGTCAAGCAATTCGTCAAATGTTATTCTTGACTGATATTTAAACTAAGAAAAATTTGAAAAATAAAATAAATATGTCCTGAATTCTAAATGCTCACATGTAAGATGCTTTACTCTCAAAAACACTGTGGTCTATTGCTATTTTAATGGGAGGAGGGTTCCTTTTTTTATTTTATTTATTTTTTTTTTTTCCTTCCCTACCTCGCCTTTTAGGCTATACGGGATTTTCCTGGGCCGGAGGGTGAGGGCGGGGAATTTAAAATCCCCTCCGGCACCGGGATGCGAACTCATACTTTTTAATCTTCTAAAATCTGTTATCCGGTTGCCAGGCAACTCGCGGTGCAGTGCACACGCTTTAGTCCATTCGGCCACCCCGCCCGAAAGGAGGAGGGTACCTAAAGTTTCGTCACATCTTAGCGGATCTATTTCGCGAATACTCAATTTCTTAAACGTCTTTAACAAATAGCTGCTATTTTTCCCCCCTCGTAATTTTACAAATCATGCTTAGTAAATTGGGACCGTGGGTTACAAAATAGTGAAATGCCTCTTTTAACGTTTTTACTAGTTATCTCACTAAGTGCTCGAAGGCTTAGAAAGTTAGATATTCATTCCAAAGGATGGAGTTTGGACTTTCTGACTGGATAAGCAATTATAAACGTGTTAAGGTTTCAGATGTCCATCTATTACTTTGAAAGTCGAAAAAAATAAATAACATCATTGCTTTCCGAGAATGATTTTTATCCTAAAAACGATCATTAGATAAAAACATGTATTTATTTGTATGTAAAATTATAAACAAGTTTTTGTAAAATATAAATATGTATATATTATAAACATTGACAAAAAGATGGGTTTCACATACATTTAAAAATATCTTGAATGTATAAAAACAATTTTCAAATATATATATTCTTTAAATAAGAACTTCTATTAGCATAATATATTTTGGATCAACTCATAGCTTTCTAAAAAAAAAACTTTTTTTAAATGATATAACTTTTAGTGGCAGATTTATAAAGTGCATCACCCATTTCTTTTTATTCTTATGATGATAACGTTGATTCCATTGAATGATTTTCGTTTTTTACTTATTTAATTTACAAGAAAACTTTTCTCAG